TAGCTACATCGATACATCTAAAGGAGGCATTGCAGGTTTTTCGGGATGTGTAGAACATACTAGTGTTCTTAGCCAACTCATACATGAGGCAAAGACTACATAGAAGAATTTGGCAGTAGTATGGTTAGACCTGGTAAACGCATATAGATCAGTACCACACAAATTGATAGAGATGGCAATGGATCACTACCACATTCCAGATCACATCAAGAAGATAGTCCAAAAGTATTTTGGTGGAATACAGCTGCGATTTACTGTAGACAATAAGACAACAGCATGACAGAAGCTAGAAAAAGGAATAGTTACGGGTTGTACCATCTCACCGATACTATTCATTATGAGTATGAATATCATCATGAAGGCAGCAGAAAGAGAAACAAGAGGTCCAAAGACAAATTCATGGATTTTTCTACCAGCAACAAGAGGGTTCATGGATGACCTTACAGTAACAACATCATCTCATATTCAAGCAAGATGGATACTGTTAGTGCTGAAAGAGGTAGTCACTTAGACCAGGATGAAATTTAAGCCAAGGAAGTCAAGATCAATGATACTGAGAAAGGGTCAGATAACAACGAAGTTCCAACTTAAGATCTAAGGGGACGAAATACCAACAATAGTAGATAACCCTATAAAGTGCCTTGGAAAATGGTTTGATGATACCCTTAAAGACAATACCAATGTGAAGACAGTACAAACTCAGGTTTCAGAATGGCTTTAGAAGGTAGATAAGAGTGGATTGCCTGGGAAGTTTAAGGCTTGGATATACCAACATGGGCTGTTACCAAGACTGACATGGCTTCTCATGATCTATGAAATGACAGCAACAACAGTCGAAGCCATAGAAAGAAAGTTAAGCAGTCACCTCAGAAGATGGCTAGGAGTACCACCAAGTTTTACAGCCATAGGTCTTTACAGTAGATCATCACAACTCCAGCTACGTTTAACATCAAGTTTGGAGGAATACAAGGTATCAAAGAGCAGACTTGTTATGACTCTCAGAGACTCAAAGGATAGCAAGATCAGTAAGGCTAAAATCCAGACACGTACTGGGCGGAAATGGTCAGCAAGAACTGCAGTAGATCAAGCAGAAAGTATTCTTCATCACAAAGACATAGTGGGAAACACCTGTACTGGTAGACAAGGCTTAGGAACGACACATTTCCAACTGTGGTCAAAGGCAACACCAAAAGAGAAGAGCAGCATGGTGCAGTCAGAAATAAGAACGGTAGAAGAAGAACAAAGAAGGTCAAAGGCAGTAGAGCTTAGCCGTCAAGGAGCGTGGATGAAGTGGACCTTGCCAGAAAGAAAGATCACATGTGCAGAGTTATGGAGGATGGAACCATTCAATGTTTCATTCATGCTTAGGTCAGTGTACGATACACTTCCTTCCCCTTCAAACTTACACCAGTTGGGACTGATAGAAGAACAAAGCTGCAAGTTATGTGGTGAAAGAGGCACTATGGCACATATACCTGTACTTTCAGGCTGCAAGGTTGCTCTGACACAGGGAAGATATCGATGGCGGCACGACAAGGTCCTAAAACATCTGGCAGAGATCCTTGATATTGAGAGAAGGAAGAAGAGACCATCAACAACAGAGGCAAAGCAGATCAGATTCGTCAGAGAGGGATATACTGGTCATGCAACAAAGTCACAACAGCACTTCACCTTGGACAAGGGCAGTGAATGGAACATGAGGGCTGACATTGGCAAGAATCTTGTGTTTCCAGAATGCATACATACAATCCTACGCCCAGACATTGTAGTTTGGTCACAGTCGTCAAAGATGATAGTTGCAATAGAACTGACAGTTCCTTGGGAAGAGAGATGTGAAGAGGCATACCAGCGGAAGAAGGAAAAGTAAGGAGCTGATGACAACATGTAGAAAGAGAGGTAGGAAAGCGTGGCTGTTCCCAGTAGAAGTAGGCTGCAGAGGTTTTCCTGCACAGTCAGTATGGAGGATGCTACAGGCAATGGGAATAGTCGGAAAGGCAAGAAAGACAGCAGTAAGACAGCTAGGGGAAGCAGCAGAACGTTCATCTTGCTGGTTATGGCATCGCCGAGATGATCTGAGCTAGAAGCCGAGTGCTGATGAGTAGAGGTTTGGCCACCTCTACTGACCCGCCAACCGGAGGATGTAATGGTACAGGGTCGAAACATCTGGTGAAGGTTGGAACCATCTGAAGACATCAAAGCACCGGCAGAGAGCGACAGAGATTCAGAGATGAAGGAAGATGAGCAGTCAAGAGAATATGACAGCAGAAAAGCAGAATACCACCATCTGTAAGTAATAATTCAAAATAATAAGTTAGTGATAGTAAACACATAAAATGATAATTGTATGCAAAAAATTGTCTTGCACATATTGAAATAATATACATTACTCTGCATCTTCCATTTTATCAGTGCATCTATTGAAAATTATCACTTTAGTAGGTTTTCAACATCTTTTTGTACTTGTCCATACGCATGTTTTGGGTATTTCACAACACTCCCTCTTGGGGAACCAAAATTGGGACGAAAGAACTTGCTTGTACTTACAATATATATTGCACAGAACATTAGTTTGTGAAATGGAGTGAAATCGTTTTTTAGAGAAGTTCAACCGAAAGAATAATCTTCGATTAAACAGAACATATACATGTACGAAGGCGTATTTTTGATAATATTTAATATATTAAAGGGATTTCTTAATCATCTAAATAATCCCTGAAATAGATACTTGTATTGGGTTGAGTACTGTAACCTGCGTCTCTAAATACCTTTCCAGCTTTTTTGATATTATTTTATATCTGGGAGTTATATTTTTATGCCCCCGCCGCAAGACGAAGGGGGCATTAAGAGTTACCTTTGATCGTCCGTCTTTCCGTCCGTCCCATTTTCGTTTAAAAAGCAAGCTTTTCCTCATATATACACATTCTCCCTTTATCTTTCGTATTTCGGTTTCAATTGCGGTGCAGGAACTGCTAGTCATTCCGAAGCACTTGAGATCACACCGATTTTTGCTTAAGTGATTGGTATTCTTGTCTCTGTCTTTTCATCGTTTTATCCTTTTTTGTCGTGATATTTTTATTTTGAATGTCGCTTTTGGTATTTTCCGTCAATTTTTCTAATATGGCATCACATTGCAGAAAATGTTTCATCTTACTTAACCTTTTATGTAATTTAATTAATCGATTGAATAACACTAAATGTTATTTCCCTACAATTTTTAAGTATTATTAATTTCGCTCAATACTAAGTAATTCATTGTTTTGTGATTAACTACCTTAACACTTCTATTTTGTGAAAATATCGTTTACGAAATGGGTGCTTATGTAATATCCTGTAGAAAATTTTCATACAATAGGACGATAACGTTTAAAACAATAAAACAAATGCAATAAGTAGGTTCGGCAAAGTTGGTCGCCCAAATCGAAAGAAGAAAGGAAAAGAAATATAAAATGGCACTGGTAAAAAAGGGTAGGCTCTGTTGAATAGGGACAGACATATTAATATAAATAAGAAGATGTGGTATGAGTGTCAATGAGACAACTCTCCATCCAAGTCAATGTATAAAAAGTTAACATATTGAATATGTTTTAAAACTCTATTCAGTATGATTTTTTTTATGTAAATAAACAATTTTCAATTTGGAAATTTGTCATGTTCCTCTTAACCATGAAACTTCAGTGAAAAGATAATTCTTTACTAAATGTTCCTCGTTTAAATGGAACGACTATAAACGATACTTAATAAAATGTGTGGGAAGAAAGGGTAGCTGCTACTGTAATTACCTATTATGATGAGCGCAAAATCAAATTATGTTAAACCCGTCAAAGTATTGGTGTAAACTTCCCAACTTCATACTTTTTTCCTAAAAGTTATTACACAGTCCCTATCACTGAAAGACAAACATTCCTTAACATAGTTTAAAAATAGCGTGACCATAAAATCTACAAAACCACAAAATTATGCTTTCTCGATTGTTGAAAAATAATGTTTCATACCGATTATTGACTCATAACAAATTGGTATTTAAAAAGCTATTAACGTAGAAAGAGGACTTACTTTGCGATTCAGTACCTTATATTATCAGGAAGTCGCATTTGTTTCCTTCGAAAATTTTGCAGACGCCATCACGAGTTGGTGGTCTGTTTCACATATGACGACGGACATGTTCAAATTTACGTAATCACAATCCCGTCCATTTTTCCTCAAATGTGACCTACCGAATTAGACTTATCACCGAGTTTGTACTTACATGAACAACACGACAGGTGCCACATGTGGAGAAATATCTGCTTATCTTTCCGGAGCACTTGAGATCACTACTGGTTTTTAGTGAGGTCATATTGCTTAGTCTTTAATTTTGTATGTTGTGTTTTGTGTACTGTTGTTTTTGTTTTTTGCCATAGCATTGTCAGTTGTTTTTCGATTTATGAGTTTGAATATCCCTTAGGTTTCTTCCGCCTCTCTTTTTCGTGATTTAGGCATATAGTCAGAGGTATTAGTAGCCGTTAATTTGCCTTAGATAAATGGACCGAGCGAACTATGACATTGGAAATGTATAAAAAAAATATGCATGAATTTTAAAATCGCCTAGTTCATGCCATGTATAGATGTGTCTTCTAACCTTCTAAACGTTTGCAATGTCACTGCACCAGATTAACATTTTTTTAAAGACTTGTGGATTTAACGCTGGGATTTTGATGTATATTTGAAATAAAACGTTGAAAATAGATAAATTCATTTTTTAATTTACATTATTGTATCATTTTCTTTTCTCTTCAATGTATTCATAAATTTAATTGTAACCAAATCATTGTAATCATATGTACCAAATTTAACTTGATTATTCTACTTGTAATGGGCGCCTTTAATTGGCAATAAAATATTTGAACTATATTTATATCTTATAATTTAAAGAGAAAATGTACGGTAACATTTACGCATCTGTTCGACATTTCGCAAATCTACCTGCATTTGTATCCCACTGAGTATGAATCTGTAACGATCACTACAAAAATGTAGAATTGTGCTTCATACTTGCATTTCATGAAAGTGAGGAGGCCATTGCCCACTTGCATTATAGCAGATCATAATATAAGAGTTTGTTCCCTATACTTTAGTGATTAATATTCGCTTTGAAATCATCAGTATGAAGAAAATAAACATAACGTAGCAAGGTCAAGGTACATTTAATTATATCTGGAAAACAGACACGCCATATCTAAAGGTAAACATTGCATGCTTATGTTATGTTAGAGACTGATTATCAAATTATTCTTTTAAACTGTGAACATAGCATATATAGATGTCTCACAAATTGTACACAGTATGTACAACGTTATTATTAGTGATTTATGTTTCTGAATTTGCCCTTCTTTCGTTTTCGCTAAAAATCGATGAATTTAACTTTCCGAATACTTATGTAAAATAGCAATAAAAAGCACAAATTACACAAATACGTCAATGGGTTTTACGTGTCTTCAATTAAAAAAAATCTTTTCCTAGGACATAAAAGTACACGCAATGAGAAACGCAAGTACGAACCGAATCATTTGAAAGGCATCGTCCAACCATTTTATCGGGGAGATACATGCAATAGCATATTGGTCGCTGATTATTTCTCAGCATAATCCTCATTACTTCCCCGAACGTGAAATTCCAGTATCCTCTTTCAAAACATTGTGTGTGCCTAAGTACTGTACACATATTTCCGTTTACCGAGAGACACTGCAATTATCCGTTTAGTGTTGATTTGCTGAATATACCGTAGCCGACAGGAACCTTAACTCTCCCTCACGAATAGCCCTGATTCGTTTTACGGGTCTGGCGTTACTTTATGTCCTGTTTATTTTATCAGCTCCCCAGCGTTTGTATTACGTTTTGAGTTCAAAATATGTTGTCCTTCAGCATCACTTTAGAAAACATTATTTGCCGAAATGCGCACTCTTTTTGTACCGTCTTCCACGACTGAAGGTTTGAACCAAGGCCGGTCAAACTAAGAGACTTAAAAATCGACATGTGCTATTTTTTTGCTAGCAACATGGAAATTAGCAGTATTTTATAACTGCCAGAAGAGTGTTTAAGTTGCATTTTTAAGGCGTTAAGATTTGTTTACAAATTATTCGTAGTTTATTAGAGTTGATAATTGTCGAAAAAGAGAGGCAAAAGACACCAACGGGATAATCAAACGCATAAGGCGAAAACGAACTGACAACGCCAGGGCAAAAACGGAAAACGACCAAAAGACAAACAACATGCAGTATACAAAACACAACAGTAGAAAACTAAAGACTGAGCAATATGAAAGTTTTACATTCTTTGCATAAATTGAATTATGTTTGAATCATTGAATTGACAGAAAAAACAAATGGAATAACATTATTTAAATTCAAATGCGATTACTGTACTACTGTATAATTATAATACTTTAGTTCGTCCCGTTTGCAATGCATAATCGATCCAGAATATATATCTTTATAAATACATCTCAATTCTAACCAATCTGTATAACCCCACAAACCAACATATTGGGGTATATATGAGTCGCCTTGTCTGTCAGTCCATGGGCTTGGTGTTTACAACTACTCGTTAACGGATAGGTATTTATGAAACTTTGTACTTAATCTGGATAGTATCCCGATCCAACATGTTAATATCTATGATGAGTTTATGTTAAAAGGGAGATTATCTAATTTGCTTTCTTCAATAATGCAACATGTGGTAGTAATAGTTTCTCGTAAAGAAAACTCCATCGTAACAGGTAGATAACTTCCATTAAGATTACACATACAATTTCATTACTTAAGGGACTTCTCTAAACGACCGTGACTATTTTAACGTCTCCTGTCACTAAGAAGTATTGTCACGTTGTGTATCTGTTGGTAACGTCAGTCATTAAACCTAATACATCATGGCTTTCTGAAACTGATGTAAAAGAATATATAAAGAAAATAAAGGCTGTAAACTAATCAAAACTGCCCTGGGTGAACTTTGAATGAAGGAGTTGCAACTTTAGTTCGAGAACAATTGCAAAACATTTATAAAAAATGATGTTTTATAAAATCATCCCAATGTAGAAGCACTAGAACAAGGTAGATAATGATATTTAGCTAGCAACCGTGGTAGTTACAATCATTGTCATCGCAATCAACAAATTATCTGCACTTGATGACATCTTTACAAATGACCTTCTTTCATTAATACAGAAGTCTTAAGTATACATCACAACCGCACGAAACTATAAAACATGAAGCAACCTTCTTTGTTGAAACATATCTTCGGAAACCCCTTGTTACTAATGACGACTCTAATCAAAAAGTAAAATCACAAAAATACTGAACACCGAGGAAAATTCAAAACGGAAAGTCCCTAATCAAATGGCAAAATCAAATGTTAAAACACATCAAACGAATGGACAACAACTGTCATATTCCTGACTTGGTACAGGCATTTTAAAATGTAGAAAATGGTGGATTGAACCTGGTTTTACCTCCCACTTGTATGACAGTCGCATCAAATTTCATAATATTTACAACGATGCGTGAACAAAACAGACATAATAGGTAACATTGTCAAAATACTGGTACAGCAGTCATCCCTGTGTTACAATCTCAAAACAAACAAACATTTAACAAAGAAGCACAAAAGCAATACCAGCTAACAGCTATGATCTCGGGTATTGCCCATCACAGACTTTAAAACCACTTGCACTAGTAAATGAATGTTAAGTCTTAAACGGTCCTTTTGATCTGAACATTGTCTTAAAAGCCTGAACAATAAATTATTCAGTCAATTTTCAGACTTATTCACTGCGGTAATTTCAGTACTGTGGTAAATTCTGTTTTGGAGAAGTGTGACAATAACACTTTGTGAACGCAACTTCTCTGATACCGTTTACAAAAACCTCTCATATTTAGTAAGATTGGCTGCCATCATTTGTAGTTGAATCATTTTGGGGGATTTTACTACTGGTTTGGTATAGTAATAGTGTCACCTTGTGAACGCAACTCCTGTGATATCATTTGACAGGAATCTCTCATACTTGGTAGGATTGTTTTCCCTCGTGTGCAATTAACCATATTGTACCCTCATTCTTGATTTCACCATTTTTATGGGAGGTATGGGACTTTTATCATATTTTGACTATCATACCACAATGAAACATTGCGACACACAAATTAATTCCTCATTTTCACAACGCATGGACACATTTGGCTGCAGCGTAGCAATCTTGTACTCTTTACACTAGTCTTCCTCGTTTTAAACTTAAAAGATAGATTGAAAATATTGATCCAACTTTGTTTCAGAAAATAGAATTGCAAGCGCAGAAACAAATATCTTGTTTTAGAAAGGGACAGATCATACTTCATAAAAACACTTGGGTTTGATAATAACAACACAAAAAAAATTATTTGTAATGTGTGGAGGTCGCATTTTTCAACAATCTGCATTCCTATTAAAGCAAAATCTTAAAACGCTCCTCTTCTTGCCAACTTGCTCCTTTATTGGTATGAGACATACTTCACACAGAAGCAATATTTGCCACTAGCCGCAAACGTTGCAAAAAACAATTCAATAACACCGTAGCTTCCCAAGAATATTGAAGCTAGTATTATACTTTAACTTCACGTTCCGCTATACATGTTCTCTAACTTGATTATTCAAAGTCCGGTGGCCTAAGTTTACCACATCTTTCAAATTGAACGTGAAATAAAAGAGCCCACAAATACAGTTAAATCTGTCTCATACCACGACTTACATTTAGAAATTAACAATGATGGTCGGGGTAGAACTTAACTTTACGACTAAATTGGTGAATTGAAATTTTCCATTGTGAACTTCCGTAACATTCAAGCATCCGCAACGCTTATTGGAAATGGAAAATATATCTGCCAGGCGATACAACGTTTCAGGGCTTGTGTTTCCTCGGTAGACTGCTTCTGCTTACAAATATCTACTAGTACTACATTAAGGGTTTTAAATAGTTGAACTCATTCCTTTGAAAGTTTTACGAACGCCATAATGATTTGGCTAACAGTTATGGAATATATGAGTCACAAATTACCTCGGATATGTTCCATTTTGCACAATCATGTCCTATTTTTCACGATTGGGAATTAACTGAATGCGACTCATCACCAATTTTTTAAACGCCATTTAACTTTTATGTAAAACGACGGTTGACACAAGTCGAGTAGGAACTGCTTATCATCCCAAAGCACCTGAATACACCCCTAGTTTTGTTTAAAACGGCTTCTTCTTGTACTTGCTTCAATTTTCAGTATTTTATTTTCATAATCTATGTTATTTCTACCTGGAACAGTCTTGTTACCTTTTGCCCTTGGAAGCTGTGTTTTCATTTCAAACTTTTATATTCGTTCAAGTGTTAGAGTTTAAAAAATATACGTGTACCAATGGTGCATAAAACCCATGAAGTCTTTGAGTAAGAAAAGAGGCAGTTATCAATCCGTTATTATATCAACATATTTTATCACGAGCAGCACGACAGCTGTCACCAGATTTGAATATGCATGAAAACATTTGTTAAATGCCGTTAACAAACACTAATCTGTAAAAAAAAAGGTCATTGGACTGTTTAAAATCCCATACTCTATTGAAATCGGAGGTTTGTATTGGGATTTGAATAAAATCCTAACAATGTCCACATATATTTTTATAAATAAAACATATTAGTCTCTAGTGTTTAAATCACCAATAGTGATAATTGCATTATGCAAATTTTCCATTGTCTAGACGTGAAACATGTGGAAGTTTTCAAACAGTTCAACTGAGACAAAAATATTGATGTCTTATTTTGAAAATAAGAAAAGTAAGAAAATTCCCACTGTATTTTTAGATTCTACATCAAGGAACTTTTCAAATCGATGCATGATTTATATATGAAAATACAAAACGAAAGTAGACTTTATAACTATTATTGAAATAAAGCTGATATTTTTATTCCTATGTTTTAACAATTATTGTTTATACCGTTTTCACTACAAGTAATTTGATTTTCATGTTTATTTTAAATGACAAATTAACTAAAGCTTCAATTTTGCTGCGTTTTTGAAATTAATTGAAAATTTGGAAATAATAAATGACAATTTTAGTCTGCCAGCTGTCAATATGATGTATTTATGACAAAGCGTCTTTAAATGATATTTGAAAAAATACGACAGTCAATTTTTTTCCCCTGCTGATTGCTAATCTTATCGATCGCTAATTCTGGAATATCTATCTCGGTAAATACATCTCAATTGCACCAATCTGTATAACCCCCGCAAACCAAGATTTTTTGGTATATGTCAGGAGTCGCCTTGTCTGTCCGTCTGTTTGTCAGTTCGTTAGCATTGTAAGTACAACTCCTCGTTAATGGCTAGATATTGATGAAACTTAACACAGTTGTACAACACTACTTGAGGATGTACTTAAAGGTATGTTATCCTGGTCCAACATGTTAAATAATATCTATGATGAGTTTATGTCAAAGGGGAGACTACCGAATTTGCTTTCTTCAATACTAAGTAATACAATATATGGTAATAGTTTATCGTACGGGAAATTCCTCCGTAACAGCTACATAACTTCACTAAGATTACACATCGAAATGCACAGGAGTGACTCTTCCCAGCAATATATTTTTTTCCGCGGTACCAATGTTTGGGTTTCGACAGATGAACAACTTGTTCTGGAAAAAAAACAGCCACGTTTAAATGAAATGTCATTACCTGAGTGACCACTCTAGACCGAGAATATTGTAACGTTTCCTGTCGCTAAGAAGTATTACTGCGTTGGGCATCCATTGCCAACGTCAGTCATTCAACCTAATACATCATGGGTATCTTGTGAAACTAATGCAAAAGAACATATAAGACAATAAAGGACAAAGTATTCAATAAACGCGTGTTTAGATACAAATTAAGTGCATTTGGTCCTTTTATTTATCAATTTAATGCGACTGGTCTGGTAATAAATATACTTATTGACTATTTCATCCCGTACAAGGCAAGACAATGCCAACGAAAATTACTGAAAAATCGTCAAATAAGATCGTCTAAGATAACTTAAAAACATGAATGCTTAATTATCCATATTCGTCAGCAAATTTGAGGAATTACAGATATTTCTTCGAAACAGCAAAGAAAGTAATGGATCGGAAACAAACTTAAAGCAAGTAAGTCAAACAGATTTGTAACGCTTAAGATACAGTTTTGAGTTAGCAAAGAAACTAGAAAAAAGTTCTGAGGTGAATTTTGGTTGAATACTTTACTTCCTTAGTTTTATTACAATCATATAATTTTATGTACTTGTAATTAACAAAATTGAAATGTATAAGCCAAAGGGCCTATATATCGTTAGCCTAAATTCATAAACTGGGAACACAATTTTAAAGTACTTATATATTCAGTCGAAACTTATTCCAGACAATGGGCAAATAGTAAAAAGTAAGACTAGATATCTGCGACTGGTTAAGCACTCCCTCCTGTGGCCTTTACATATCTCAATTGATACGTCACGCTCACACTATACGTAATTCATTAACAGAAGTGTGCTTCTTACACAAAAACTGATCCAAACAGAATAACGATGATCCACTGGAATCGATACTACAAAAGCTTTGCGGTCATCGTCAAAAATTGGTTGACCAATACGATATGTCTGTGTATCAACTCACTAGCGGCATGTTTTAGCATTCTTAGATCTGTAGATACCAACAATGTCAACTAATGTGTTATTTTACCCATTGTGACAATTTGACTGAGTCTGGATTCGCATGGCGGATGATGCATGCATATTAGGTGACGCTTATCCTGTGTCGACGTACCCGAGCTCGCTCCTTTTGGAGTTTATGTTATTCCTTCAACTTGTGTTTGTAACCTTGATTTGTCTTCTAAAGCAAATTATGTGCTGTCTTCGCATTCAAATTATGTGATTTGAACATATCTTAAAACTGTTAGGTCGCTGGTACAAGTCAGAATTAAAATACTTAATGTTTCTATGAACACTCGTATTACACCTATCTTCAAAAATAAATATTTAGTTGAGCACATATCCTATCTCCAAGACGAATATGTTGTTCCGGCAGACTAATTCCCAAAACAATATTGTTTTTGCATTTCATACAACGATGTAGAATCGAATCTTCCTTCACTTAACTGGATACCCAAATAACATAAGTGCCGTTACAAACCAATCATATATTGTTGGGCCTGTCAGATACTCCACGAAAAATCTGTCCATATTATTAACATCTATTTAATCAGCAGTAAAAAGTTGTCTTTAGTGAAACTCCCTACTCCAGGGGCGGTTTACGTCAGACGTGGATAAAGATATACTAGAATACATGCAAACTTAGTTCTCCTTATCGTGCAAAAATATTCACATATTTGAATGTTCTACACTTTACACTAGTTTTCTTTATTCTAAACTTAAAGATAAATTGATCAAATCGTCGTTCAGTAAAAACAATTGCCAACGCAGATACAAATATCATGTTATAGCAAGTGACAAATCTAAAAACACTCTGATTCAAACGAAACGTTTTCTAAAACAAGACGGATGAATGTTTGATTGACAACATCTTTGTTCTCTCACTGAATAGTTCAAAGTTTGGTGCCTATGTTAAACGCATCTATCCTATTGAACTTAAAATAAAGGAATCCACAAATACACTTATGTATGTGTCGTATAACGACTTACATTTATTAATTGAAAATAAGGGTCGGTTGTAAAATAAACTTGATGACTAAAGAGATGATTAGTTTTACCCATTGTGAACTTTCCGTTTCTCATCAAAAATATTACAACAGCGCCTGCTTGATATGAAATTTATATCTCCCAGTTGATACGATATTTTAGGATTGCATTACCTATAATCATTTCCTTGGAAGATTGTTGCTGTTAGCATTGGAGCTTTTGCATCAAGGTGTCCAAATGGTAAAGTTAACCTCATCTCCTTAAAAGTTATACGGACCCAATGATGATGTTGATGACCTTTATGGAACATATGTTTCACAAATTATATATTTATACAACGGATATGTTCTATTTGTCGTGTTCAAAACCACGTCCACTTTCCCTCAATTGTGACAACACTGTAAGCAAATTCTCACAGATCGTTTACTGTTATCAATTTTAACTTTTAATTAAGGCAAAGTATTATCAATTTGGAGGTATATCGGATTTTAGAACTTGTTGAATTGCATATGAATATTGAAAAAGAGGGACGAAAGACACCAGGAGGACAGTCAAACTCATAGATCGAAAACAAACTGACAACGCCATGGCCAAAAATAAAAAGACAAGCAGACAAATAATAGTACAGATGACACAACATAGAAAACAAAAGACTAAGCAACACAAACCCCACCAAAAACTGGAGGTGATCTCAGGTGCTCCGGAAGGGTAAGTAGATCCTGCTCCACATGCGGCACCCGTCGTGCTTATGTTATTACAAATCCGGTAAATAGTCTAATTTGGTAAGTCACATTCGTGAAAAGGGAGGATATTGTAGTTACGACATAAGGAACATATCATCTGTGAAACGGTTATTCCATAACGGTAAACCAACTCGTGATGGCGTCCGTAAAATTTACGAAGGGATGATTTCAACTTCACCATTTGGAACTCTTGGTTTAATAACTTCCTTGTGAGCAGCAATCCTCTATCAAGGAAAAAGATATATGTAGTATGACTTTTGTATAATTTTAGAGATACTTTATGGACTTCGGTATTTTTGTTATTTTACTTTTTAAATTAAATACCTATAAAATAGGTCTATAAATATGTAGATTGTACGTGAAAAGCGACAACAATATACTTTTTTCCACTTTAAATTGCGATTTCTCGAACATACTCCCACAGAATTTTGTAAACTTTCTGAAGGACCAGTGATTCCACCCCAATTTTTGGTGGGGTTCATGTAGCTCAATCTTTAGTTTTCTGAGTATTGCTTTGTGGATTGTTATTGGCCTTTTTTTTTTTTTTTGCCATGGAATGGTCTGATTTCTTCAACTTAAGGCTTTTAATAGCTTCCGTAGTATCTTTTCTTTTTAATTTTACCTATCATATAGTCATTTTTAAGTAGAAACATTAAACCTTTTGCAATTCATCGAGGTCGACTAACGTTGCATGACATTCTTCTGTGTAAAATCCATGCTGTATTGAAATCGGAGGTATGTATTTGGATTAATTGAAATTCTTACAATGGCCATTCATATTTTACATAAATTAAGCATGTTAGTCTCTTGCGTTTTAGATCGTCAATATTGATATTACATTATGCTCGTATTCCCTTGTCTGAACGTGAAGCATTTGGGATTTTTCAACCAGTTCATCTGAATAAAATATTCATTGTTATTTTTTATATATATATATATAATAGCAAGAAAATCCCCACTGTATTTTTAGAGTATACGTCAAGGAATTTTCCCAATGGATATTTGAATTATATTGGAAAATACAAAATGAAAGTAAATATTTTATATATTAGTGAATGAAACGTACTCATTTTAATTCCTATTTTTCAACAGGTAAGATGTAATATTAAATAAATGTTAAATACTATGCTTTAAAACAGATATTGTATATACTGTTTTCAGTGCACATATTTTAGATATCGTGTTTATTTTTAAATAATATATTTTTGCAGTTAAAGATTTGTTGCATATCTAAAAATAATTGTAAGTTTACGACGATATTAATCTGCCAGATGTCAATGCGATGTAGTTATGACACAGCTTATTTAAATATATTTCAAAAGAACGAAATGGGAATGTTCTGTTTGTTGCCTATTACAAGAATAACTTTCTCATCACTTTCCAGTTTGGTCGAATTTTCTCAACTAATTCTGTTCATTCAACTTTCTCAATCTATCTTATTGATTTTTGTATAATTGGTTCTTGAAGATGTACTATCAAAATTATAATTGATTCTATGATTCTAGGCAAGCAGCTTTAATAAAATGGCAGATTTCGAAGGACGAAATCCAGGAGAATCCCTCGAGAGCTTCATAGATAGAGTTGTAAACCCGGATTCATCCTATGTTACTCAAACAAGGTTGGTTATACACACTGTGGCAGATTTGATGAGGTCCAAAAGTGTGGACCACAAAGTTGGCTCTACAGTAAAGGTAAAATATTAAACATAATGTTCTTTAATTTACAGAGAAACAACTGTATTACGGGTATACGTTTACTGGTTAAATATGTAACCTATTTGAAACAAATACTTTTCTAGGGGTTTCAGTTTATTTCGTTGATATGTTTGTCCACTTAAATTTGACCACATGTGTGGAAGAAAAACCTTTTGACCTTTTTCTCTTGCTACGATAGAGCCAGATACCATGATTCAACTTCCTTGTGTATGTATGCATCCTTTTTTGAAGAACGCTTTAAATCCAAAGCTTCAAAGTGCCCGGATAAACTTCAATGCAAAGGATTTTGTTTTTCCAAGTAAAATATTGATGAATTATTCGTATGTATATAACAATTATTGTGCGGAATAAATCCTGATAGGAATTAATACTAGGTTTATGGTAATTGTACATTAATATAAGATGAAAATGCGCAGGAGACAGAAAACAGAAATACCGTCAATCCGTTTGGTCTTGTAATCGCTCTCACGTGTACAATTCTATATCAGCAATTTCTCGTACAATTTTGAAATTCAGTGCCGATCACCTATTTTTAATACGGAAAATTGCATTATAAGCGCCCTAAAACCTGTCGAAGGAATGTTCATATCGTAGATTGATATCAGCAATATCTTAGATAAGTTGAAAATTCAGCGCTGGCGAATTATTTTTACAGGATTCTATAAATTCTATAGAAAATTGTATCGTAAGCGCTCGCAAGTGTACAATTCTCGCCAAATATTTATGATATTGATATCAAGGTTTATTTAAGCAATGTTTCAGATAATTTATAAAATCAGTGCCGAATAACAATTTTCAAAGAGTTCAGCCCCTTGGAAATATTTGTTTGTGGCGTACAGTAAGTGTCGTATTCCTTATACATATGTAGTTTGGAAGTTAGAATTATAAAAAAAGATGAGTCTGTAGTATTTTGCCACCCCTCTCCCCTGATATAGATTTTTGAAGCGCACGACATATTGAGGGCCTGGATTCAACCTATCATCCCCAATATGTATACTACTGAACCAACGAGGTCCAATTTGTTAGCCACCATGACGTAAAAACGACGAATCAAAGAATTCAACTTTATATATAACTTATATAGGACAATGAAGTTGATTAAAAATTACACCATTCAAGGTCCTTTTGTTTTTCACATAATAAATATTACCAATAATTAACAAGTTTCGGGGCGAATCCGATACCAATACCAATAGAATATGTAACATGTTATCTGTCACCTGTTACCCTAATCTGTACGCTCTTGAAAGCAGAGAAAACTGTGCACATTTTAATCAGCATGACTTTATAAAAATCCAGGCTGAAAATAAGGCGTAGGTACTGTAATTCAGTCACGTACCAGATGCGGATCCAGGATTTTGAAAAGAGGAGGAGGGGGGCGCGGGCCCAAAAACTAGACAAAGTGTGTGCTTAAGTTTAAGCTAATGTTAAAGTATAACAATACAAACTACTTTTCCTCTTAAAGGGTGGATCACTTGGAAAGGGAACAGCTGTGAAAGGTCGTTCGGATGCAGATTTATTATTTGTTTACGCAGATATACCATCGATAGATGCACTCCGGACCACGTTACCAAAATTACTGAGAGAACTACAGTCTGCACTGGCACTTTCAAAGCATAAGGTGACCTCTGTAAAACGCACACCGTTCACAATACAGTTTGAAATTGAAGTAAATGGTCAGCTCAACGAGGTCGATGTTCTTCCTATTATTCAATTAGATATTGGAAATTGTAAGTGAACTTATACTTTGGTATAGGCATTAGAACATTAGTTTGAATAAAATGTCCAACGGGTGATCCTCAACTATAGACAAGTGTGTATAAGATATGTCATGCTCTAATTTACGTAGAGAATAGAAAATGTTTACTCAATTTAATAAACTATCAAAGATGTGCTGTCGATTCAAAACTCACAAAGGTTTATTGATTGATTGTTGTTTGCTTAACACCCAGTTGCAAATATGTTATGCATATTCGAGAGCGAATAAACAGCTATTTTAATATATAAGCTCTGCAAGGTTGGACTATTTGGTGAATGGGTGGGAAATATAAAATAACCACTAGAAAAAGTTTGATAGGGGCAAATGTTTGCCTTACAGCATGCCATTCACGTATCTAACAACACTTTAAAGAGTTATTACAAAGGTTCTTTAATCTGAAGAGACGGCATAACATTATATCTAGCAGAATCGGGGAATTTAACGTAATAATTCCGACCTTACATAATTTGAAACGCATTTGAAATTATTAAAATAAAATCCAATTGTGTTGCAAAATAAGCTAATGCTATCAATACTGGGGTAGAAAAACTTAGTGTTTCGAATTGTTTAAACAATATTGTAACAGTTCTCCTAGTCATCTTACTCAAGAAAAGGTGTTGGTAACATCAACAGAGATTATTGATGATCTGCAATTAACTCCAAATTATTTCAGCATCATATTGCACTCAGAAATTAAACATATAATTACTTATTAGGATTTTGGCTTTAGACAAACACATGAACATATTGCGGATAATGCATTCATAACTTTCTACAATTATCAATTATAACTCCCATTTGCAAAGTTGTCATTTAATTATTTTGAGTGTTCTGCTAAGCATTGTTCTAATGCTACAAAATATAATATTAATTTAGCTTCGAAAACCTTGGTTTCTGGTGCACCAAGTAGAGGTTATTCCAGAACCACTAAAAATCTAAATCTCACGTTGATATTCCTGGAATCATGGCAATTTAAGTCTGTTTGAAGCCCCGTTTACAGGCACTCAAATGCACATACATGTTTATCATCTATACATAAGTATAATTTACATTGAAAAGTAAATACAATTGTAAAATACAAATTTTACAATGAACGTAAATTTGCATAACCAAACCCCTTGCAAAAGTATAACTGCACATATGTAAATTAAAAGTATGTGTATTTTGTGCATATAAACGCAAAAATAGAAAAAAATTGTGTTGATTGTATACCCCAAGCTACGAAGTAGATGTAGCGTTGGTATATAGGTTTTGACCCGTCTGTCTTTCTGTCCATCTCTTGGTATCTGGATGATCTCAACTACTTTATATCAGATTGCAACCTGACTTCGATATATATATTCAAACATCGGATGAAGATCTCAGTTGGTTTTGGGGGTCAATATTTTGGGTTATAGTAACTAAAATTGGACCGAAACTTATACAGGAGTAACAAGATGATTTTCTAGAACCTTACTCGGGATTTAAGTCAAACTTAGAATATGATGAGATGACGATCCCTATTTATGTTGATATCCCTGTGTTCTTGGGCAAGATCTCAGTTATTTTAAAATTTACACTTAAAATGGGTGCAGAAAACGAGTTCCTTGATAACAACCCTATAACCATAAATGGGTTTGCAGCGAAACAGGTACACACAAGTTTGCTAAGGCTTCCCTCTTTTCAACTTATTTTTTAAAGTTTGTACTATTGTTTACTTTCACATTACCGTCCCAGCAGCTGAGGTGAAGTTTGAGCTCTCACAAACATGGTTAACTGTGCCACATTCTTTATATACTTGTTCCCGGTTTAGAGGCTGCAATCCAGTGTTCTTGTTTTGGTTGCTGTTCTGTCTTTTTTTTCTTTTTTTTAACATAAATCAAGTCGTTGATTTTCTATATTGAATTATTTTTTCATTTTGTCCTCCCCCTCCCCACATCCACCCACGCCTCTTAGGCCTTTGGACCTTATAGATGACTAACTGAAGTAAATTCTAGAAACAGGACACAGAGGTAGTGTACCAATTGAAAAGTAGGAAGGAATCATTGGTAAATTATAGACAATGCGTATAAGATACAATTACATGTCTGGTATAAAAACCATGTGAACGCATTACATAAAAAAATTATTTGCATTTAAATACATAGACACATTTGCACGTGTAAATTGTTACCAAGTGAACGGGGCTTTAGAGGGTGTTCAATGATATTTACCTATTTAATAATAGTTTACTCTAAGCAAGAACAATGTAAGTTATGCTGTAAAAATCGAAGGTATATCTATATGAAATGATGACATAATCCCCGGTAGTGTCCAATTAAAATAGTTACCGTTAAAAACACTCTGCTTTGATGTCAAGTAAAGCTCACGATTCGTATCAAGCAAGATACTGATGTTATTACATGAACATTGTTAATTTCAAACATTATAAATGTAAATCTTTGTAGGGTCAAAAGCAAAGATGAATCCTATATACCAACAAATGAAGACAAATGAAGAACTCAGAGAATATTACTTTAAATGTCTAGCCCCATTGCAAGTGGAGTTCGTCAGCAAACAGGACGAAAAAATAAAGAGATCAATACGACTTTTGAAGTACTGGATAAAAACTCGTAAGGTGCAGAAATCATTGAACTTCCTGCTGTTTTAACTATTTTTGGTTTGTCATTCATGCTGTTATACTTTAAAATGTAATTTTTGTGTCAATCAGGGTCATAGTTTTTATAGACGAAACGTATGGTTTACCGATTAAACAGATTTTATTCAATTTCAAGAAAGGACAGATAGTTGGTGCAAAAATCTAATAAAACCATTTATTGCTTCACTTCGAAATAAAGTTTTTAAATCAGCATCTTTTCATTTGATGTAAGATAGAATGTTAACAGATCAATAAAAAAACTAAAAGTATAATTTTTTAAGCAAATGCAAGGTTTTTGTGTTATCCAAATCGAAACAGGAGCCTCGTATTTAATCTCAAATATTAGTAAAGTTTTGTCAATGTGACAAAAAGCCAACAAAAAAATTGAAAACATACGCGTCTAGAGGTAAATAGGGTCTTGGTTTATATTGACAAAATGCTATCATATATATAACCAATATGTAAAATGTAATTTTTCAGCATGTGTTGAAGTCGTATGCGGCAGAACTGTTGGTTATAAAGGCATATGAAGAAATGGGCTCCCCACAAGTTGGTAAAATGAAGTCACTCGAATTGATGAAAACTGTCTTTACGAAACTTTCAGACCTTAAAAGCTTGACAGTGTCATGGGACAAATATTATACACCATCAACTTATTATCTACCGTAAGTTTATCATTTATCAGATGCAGATCCAGGATTTTTAAAAGGTAGGGCCCCAAATTAGGCAACGTTAGGAGTGGATGAATGAGAGCTTAACAATCTGTACATACAATCATGTTCTAATAAAATAAATTATCGGGTACACACAAATCAGACTAAAAAAACTACCATCCAGGGAAGTAATTTCTGTTAAATGACTGAATAACGTGTCATGATTTTTATTTTTGGTTTAAAAAAGGTTCCTTTTTAATGGGATATTTAGTATAGTTTCAAATATTTTGGAATGTGATATATTTACATTCCTTATTTTTGTGTATTTCTATTTATGAAAGAGAGTTTTTAAGGTAAGACAAAGGGAATTTTGTACAGCTTAATAAGTGTAAACTGGATAGACCCGTTACTGACCACTGATAAAATGCAAAAAACTAAGCATAGAACCGTTCTGGATGGCTTCTATGTTGTTTACAAATAATACAGTCATTTTGATTTATTGTATGCCGATTTTTTCCTTTTGTTGTCCTTTCTTGTCTAGACTTATGCAGTAGAGGAGTTCTTGGCCTTAACATTAGAGGTAAATTTGGCTCACAATATATACGTCATAAGAACAAAACTGATAATCTGTACTTCTGACAAGCTGACTAAAACGAATGAAAAAGTAATATATAACTCATTTAAAAAAACATCGCCCCATAAAACGATGCTAGTACATAATATAACATTAAACATAAATAATGCTTCTTTTTACGAGCAACATATAGGATCATTACAAAGATTAATAGCAAAAACACGGACATCGGTACAAATGGTATATACAATTTTTTTGAATGTTTATAATGTATCGTTACTGGGAAATGTAAAATACTAAAAATACTAAAAAATATCCCGTTTTTATGTCATTTGAAGATGTTTTACGATATTTTTTTAAAAACAATAATGTAATTTCTTTGACAGATGTATAAGCGATACGTATTTCATGAACAGATTTGCCAGGACATGATGGTTCGTTTGTTTGCCGTTTTTTTACCGTATATGATTGAATAACATGTAAAATTGTATTTTCAGGTCTCCGCCTTACATACTTGATCCAGCCTTTCCATTTCATAATCTAACCAGGCAGAAGTCGGGCATTGATGAAAAATACGTCCATCTTGAGCGAGATGCTAAAAAATTCTTAGCAAATTTGAAATAAAAACTTAATTATATTTAGTGCTTACATGTACATGTGTCTACTGTGAATACTCTTTGAGTTACCAGAGTCGACGCAAAATGTGCAATATGGCATAACATTGACGTTGCATTTTCAAGGAAAAATATCAGGCGCTATAGAGAATGCATTTGTCTGTTTAACTTATAATAAAACACACCTTAGATGTATATTTTATGTTGTGTGTCTAAAATTTTAATAAGACCACACATTGATTGAATCATGGATGTCCGTCAGAAAACTCAAAGTTTTTGTCAAAATATTTGTCTACAGTCGATCCGTCTTTATTTTTGATGCAGTGTTTCTTGGATCAAAGCAAACGCTGGTAATAATTTGTGGTGACTAGGAATGATCATAAAACAATTATGAAAAGTGACATAAGCCATATTTTATTTGACAAGACTGAACATTTATGTCATACATGGTATATAGAATAATATTACTGTATTAAGTGTACATTTTGTACACGTATTACACATAGATTACTTTTTCTAGTAGAATACTAACTCAACAGATTCTAATGATATGCACTTGGTCAACGTTGTTGTATTGATATGTTGTGATCGTAGCATGATGTGCTAAACAAAGCTGCTATTGATATTTAGAAATGGAACTGATACATATAAGGTTATGCAATTGTAAACGATCTTGCTCTTGTTTGATATCGTCCTACTTTACCACGAGTGCATATATTCATATTATTCTTTTGTTATACTACTTATGCTTAGTTCTACTTAAAATCATACCGCTGAATTAAATAACATATTACCAAACGATTTTGATATGGCTAATTTATGGGTGGTTAATGTCCAGTGGAAAATATAACATGCATATCCAGGAGGTGATTGGGTTTATACTATCGTACTATAAGAAGTTGGAATAAATTAGTTAAAAGACGCTTCTTAACTGCTCAATTTAGGCCTTTTCGGATTGAAAACTCACAAAAGACTTTTGAATTCTCCAACTTATGGTCTTGAGAGAACCTGATGTAAGTTATTCCAGAAACATGTGTCGTGCGCATGAAAGTAATTTACACTCATTGGGTTGGTACCGCTGCTGGAGGACTAACCGTCCACAAAGATGACAGTAGAGAGTCTTAAGGCACTGGCACGATTTAAATGATGCTTCGTGTATGTTAGTTTGAACAATATTTATTCAGATAAAAGAGGGACGAAAGATACCAGAGGGACAGTCAAACTCATAGATCGAAAACAAACTGACAACGCCATGGCCAAAAATAAAAAGACAAACAGACAAATAATAGTACAGATGACACAACATAGTAAACTAAAGACTAGGCAACACGAACCCCACCAAAAACTGGGGGTGATCTCAGGTGCTCCGGAAGGGTAAGCAGATCCTGCTTCACATGTGGCACCCGTCGTGTTGCTTATGTTATTACAAATCCGGTAAATAGTCTACTTCGGTAGGTCACATTCGTAAAAAGGGAAGGGTATTATAGTTACGACATAAGGAACATATCCGATATCATCTGTGAAACGGTTATTCCATAACGGTCAACCAACTCGTGATTGCGTCCGTAAAATTTACGAAGGGATGATTTCAACTTCACCATTTGGAACTCATAAATCATCACATAACAATATTATACACTTAGAATAAATATCTCGGATTCAAATATAATTAAAGTTGCTTTTACAACTCTGTCTCCTCGTGTTTGTTAATGTTCAGTTTATAAACGATGCAATTGTTCTAAAACTATTTTATAAATTGAGACATATAGGTTGATCTAAGACGGCTGAGCTGTTCCGTTTAGGCCATTTTTGTATCTAAACTTTCAAGAGTTTCACTTGTATAGCTTTCCGAACTTTTTCTAGAGTTTACCTAATGAAGGTTTTTCCAGAAACATGTGTTGTGAACACTGAAATCGGTATCATACGTTTTAGTGTTAACTTAAACCTGGTATTGTATCAGATCGACACACATAGCATGGATTTTAATGTTGTTCACATGTCCATGCATTACTCTGGATCGACGACCATCGGTCTTTGTTGTTACTTCTGAAAGCTGCGCTCCTTAATGATGCGATTTTGAGAAAAAGCAGCAATTTAAATTTTAAGGTCTTTTGTTTTACCAATTCTTGTATCGAACCAACGCCTTCTGGCAGTCACGATGAGCGATTAAGCAACAGTTCAGCTCCAATAGAAATAAATTGGTGTATAGGTCAAAATGACAGCACAAAAATGGCACAACAATAACCAATAAGGCGTCTCCATGTCGACCAGTATTTTATGCCCAAGTTTGTTGTGCGAATTTGTATGCCTTAAATTACGTTGGTTTTGCCATTGAATATATAATTTCGTCACGTTCAAGTCTAAAATATTTTGTCCTAAGCCGCTACTTTCTATGTGGGTTCGTTACAAAAATTTGATGTTACTCTAGTCACCAGTTCTAATCGAAGAAAACCGTAAGTTCTATAATTTATATGAAGTTGAAACAAATACACACATTTTTTGTCATGACATGTAATTAGGTCTTTCCACTTTTCCGTGGAAAGTACTGGTTTTCTTCTGATTATTATTTTTTTTTTCCGCCTAATTTTTTTCCTTCGTTGTTATTTTGTTTCGCAAGATGTCGCTTAGATATTTGGACTATGATATCGAACAGTTTATACGCTTTTAAAACTGACACCGTTCAACCAAATGCTTTCTCATATAAGAGTTATCTCCCCGAACACTGTTTTTCTTGTTATTTCTAAGGCTTCGCAACCGTATAAGAAAGCGACAAATTTATTTTACCAAATTGCTAGTATATCTTCAGGATGTTTTGTTTAATTTTGACCGAAGCCGTATAGAGATTCCATATGAGAGTCATTTCCCCTTTTGTATTTGATATAAGTGAAATGTATTTGTTAATGGAAAACTATAAGTGATAGGGGCCTAGGGTCTTTTGATTTGAAGTCCTTGGTCCATAAAAATGAAAATGAGTTCAAGGTCAAAGGTCAAGGTCATGTTCAAAATTTAGATTTTTGCTTGTTATCACTAACTTTCAGAAATCTTATAAGATATCGACAAAATGTTTTACAGAATTGTTAGTTGCGACATGTCGTAACACGTAAATTTGAGTTGAAAGGGTACGGAGACATTTAATGGGAGTTTTCTCCCCTATTATATAAAAAATTACACTTATGCTGATATGACTCATTTTTCATATATAATTAAGACCTAGGGTCTTTTGATTTTAGACCCTTATTTCATGACCTTGAAATCGGGATCAAGGTTAAAGGTTGAATCGACGTTCTATATTTTGACCTTTGCTTTTAACTCATGTGTATACATGATAAAGTCAAGGGACTTTTTGCATTAGGTTGCAAGCCATTTGACCTTGAAAAAAACAACCGGAAGTGACCTTTGCTTAACGGGAAGTAGCTATTTTTTGTACTGAATTAATGTAAAAGTATATAGAACCATATATTTTTGGAATCAGTGTCAGGTAAACTATTAAACAATACCGGAAGTGACATTTTTAAACCGGAAGTAAAAAATTATTTCCCTTACTTATACTTTTTTGTATAGAAACCATATATTTTTGGAATCAGCGTACAGTAAGCTGTTATTTGACGCTGGAATTGACATTCAAAACCAAATTTTAATATTTTCATATCAAAATAGATTCTTACTGGTGGAAAGGTTTTTAATTTCTAAAGTGATTTTTATGATGCTGCTATACATATTGTAAAGCATTGTAACAAAATTACACTTTGTGTACGCAACTACTTTGAGCTTCATTGCCAGAAAGTTTCATATTTGGTAGGATTGTTTGTCCTCATCTGTAGTTGACCATATAATAACCTTATTTGGATTTGATTTTTACCCTTTTTGGACTATGGAACAGCAATGACATCTTGTGCACGTAAATTTGCCGAGACCATTTGACAGAACTCTCTTTCACTTGGTAGTATTGCTTGTCATCATGTGTAGTGAACAAAACGCGCGTCTTTCGTACAAAATTATAAGCCTGGTATCTTTGTTGAGCTTATTTTCTAGAACTGCTAGGACCAGTTCAATGACAGATTATTCTGTCATGTTTTATATCTCCCAATTGATACGATATTACCGGGCTTGTATTTCCTATCATGATTTCCTTGATAGAGGATTGCTGCTCACAAGGAAGCTATTAAACCAAGAGTTCCAAATGGTGAAGTTGAAATCATCCCTTCGTACATTTTACGGACGCCATCACGAGTTGGTTGACCGTTATGGAATAACCGTTTCACAGATGATATCCGGTATGTTCCTTATGTCGTAACTACAATACCCTTCCCTATTCACGAATGTGACCTACCTAATTAGACTATTTACCGGATTTGTAATAGCATAAGCAACACGACGGGTGCCACATGTGGAGCAGGATCTGCTTACCCTTCCGGAGCACCTGAGATCACCCCCAGTTTTTGATGGGGTTCGTGTTGCCTAGTCTTTGGTTTTCTATGTTGTGTCATCTGTACTATTATTTGTCTGTTTGTCTTTTTATTTTGGCCATGGCGTTGTCAGTTTGTTTTCGATCTATGAGTTTGAATGTCCCTCTGGTATCTTTCGTCCCTCTTTTAAAAAGAGGTTAGAACTGATCCCATTCTAGGGACTTTCAGCATGTCTTTTTTACTATTGTAACACAATAACACTGTGTGAACGCAACTAATTCTAAACCGTTTGCCAGAAAGGTTTCATGCTCGGTAGCATTTTTGTCATCATGTGTAGTCGACCATACTGTACCATCATTTTGATTTGACAATTTTGAAAGGAGGAATCGGTCTTTAATTATTTTTTTGATTATCGTGACACTTTGACAGAAGACCATACAGTACCAGGATTTTTATAACGAAATTTTTCAGAAGTTACGGGACTTTGGTTATATATTTTTTTACTATTGTAACAAAATAATACCTTGTGAACGTCATTTGACAAACAGCTGTCATACTAGTGACTTACAATTACTTTTATCTCCTAACTCTGGTGGATCGTTGTTTCATTGGCTATCATACAATTTCTCCTTATTTTTATATATGTAGGATTGTTTGTCACCATGTGCAGTTGCGATCTTATACTGTCATTTTGTTATGACAATTTTATTTAGGAGTTTTGAAACGTTTACCATTAGGCTACCTTTTTGAGTTACACAGTGACACCTTATGAACACAATTCCTCATTCTTCTATTTTGTTAAAAATGAGCCCGAAAATAAAACATGCTACACCGAAGAACAAGTGATCATTATGCTGGATTTTCTCATTGACAACATATTTGTTGAATTTTGGAGGTAGAATTTTCCAGCAGATTGTCCGCACTCATATAGGAATCAACTGTGCACTTCTCCTCCAGACACTTGTCAAAAACAAGAAGATCAAAGAAGCTAGATTATTAGATTTCACATACAGGTATATTGATGATGTTCTTTCCATTAACAATCAAAACTTTTCTGATTTGGTCCCATTAATATATCTTCCTGAACTAAAAAGTAAAATAACAAAATTACCGAACTCCAAGGCAAATTCAAAAAGGAAAGTCCCTTTGCAAATGGCAAATCAAAAGCTCAAAAACATCAAACGAATGGAAAACAACTGTCATATTCCTGACTTGGTACAGGCGTTTCCTTACGTAGAAAATTGTGGATCAAACCTCGTTTTATAGTTAGCTAAACCTCTGATTTATATGAAAGTCGCATAAAATTCCATTATATTGACAACAATGTGTCAACAAAACAAACAGATCTTTCTATGTAATGATGTTATACTATTGTTTCAGAAAGGGAGAAGGTTTGGTACCATTAAAACGTTTAATATCGCTGCAAATGTTTGCAGCTGTCCTAAGTCAGGAATCTGATGTACAGTAGTTGTCGTCTGTTTATGTAGTTCATACGTGTTTCTCGTTTTTCGTTTTTATATAGATTAGACCGTTGGTTTTCCCGTTTGAATGGTTTTACACTAGTAATTTTTGGGGCCCTTTATAGCTTGCTGTTCGGTGTGAGCCAATGCTCCGTGTTGAAGGCCGTACCTTGACCTATAATGTTTTACTTTTATAAATTGTTACTTGGATGGAGAGTTGTCTCATTGGCACTCATACCACATCTTCCTATATCTATAATAGGTAAAAAAAAATCAGAAATTGGGGTATAGCAGTCAACATTGTATTATAATCTTAATCACTATAAAAACAAAATTAAAAAGAAAAACAAAATGGCATAGAGTCAAAGCACATTAGCAAAAACGAAAGACAAGAATACAAAAAATGACCATAGCATAATAACACAATGGCGGGATGTATATTACCGAGTCACGCCAAAAGTATTTTACCAACAATTGGACTAAACAGTAACGGTTAAAAATATACAAAGACAAATAAAAACACTATAACATGTAATTAAGATGATAAACAACGTCAGTACCTAGAATCTATATTTTAAGACCATCCTGTATTATTTGTGAAGTTGATACGGAATATTTATCAACAAGGTCTTGGTTACTTCCGATGGATTTTTTTAGAAAAAAAGACGAGACGTTCTTTGACATAACCCTGGTTCATCAACTTTCTGCTCAGACACTGTTGTCGTTTTATAAAGTCTGAATAGCAACTTCACCCGAGTATGGAGTATACATTTCGCAACTCATACAATATTCAAGAGCTTACAACTGCTACTCAGACTTTGTAAAACGTCATCGGTGTCTGAGCAAAAAATTAATGAGCCAGAGTTTTGTCAAAGAACGTCCCGTACTTTTTCTCAAACAGTTCATCGTAAAGTACAAATACATAATATAAAAATATTTAGTATCTACTTCACAACTAATACAAGATGGTCTTGAGTTATGGAGTCTAGGTGTTGAAGTTGTGTATCTCTTTATTTTACTTTAGTTTCCCCGTTAGTTGTCTTTGTGCTTTTATGTTTCTTTTGGTCGTACGACGTTTGACGTGACTCGGTATTTATGCATCCCGCCATCGTGGGTCCTGAGGTGCAATTCGGACACAAAGGGTCTTACAGTGTTGTTTCTATTTTGTTTACCCTTGTATTTATATTTTCTTAATGTTTTTCTTTATCGGAAATGCGTGTACTATATACGATATGTACTATCAACGACAAAAAACTTTTTTTGTTGACCTCATCATCAAATTTACAATTTACTATCTAATACACTTTTTTGCTGGCGTCTTTGTTAGATTAATTTGTATGTTTGTTTCAATTTTTTGAGTCCGTTGTTTTGTATATCTGTGATGTATGTTTAAACAGTTTTGGCTGCTTGATCCCAATTATTGTCACATTAACCTATGATGTCTGTTTGGGATGCTCATCCAATTTTATCCAAATGACGGAACTATACACAACTGTCATACAAAGTTGAACCCACTATTTTCTTTGGAAAATGCGTCGAGAATTGAGCAATTGTTTTTCACTTGTTCCGTTTATTGGCAATGTTTGATTTTGTCAATTTTTATGGACGTCCCCTTTTTGAATTTGTATTAGAGTTTGGTATTCTTGTTATACTTTTTTATTCTATTAAATGATAATGAACAAGTTGTTAAGTATTCTCTAATCAAGACCATACAGAAATAAAAATCATATATATTTGAACTTTTTATTGTCGATCATATATGCTGGTAAATTAGCAGGTTATTGGAAATCATAATCAGTATAATGTTAAAATTAACAGTTGTATAAATGGCACACCATCCTTATTTAAAACCTCTGAAAGCCCGTTCTGCATCACGTTGAAGCTGATAAACTTGCTGCATGACTTCTCTGTCAGCTGATGGAACATGTAGACCTCGACAATAATGTCTGGTTATCTGGCTTATCACGTTATTATAAGGGTCTACTGGGTCCAGTATATATGGTGTTGATCTTTAAATACACGATTTATATTGTTATAAATTGTATTGTAATGTACATATTTAAACTACGGTGTTTGTATTTAAGTGGAAGATATCGAGGGGGAAATCAAAATCATGAGTAGAATAAAAGCCGACAATTTCATGATCAAAAAGAAATATAACGAACAATAGTCCACAAAGCTCATAAACACGACACCGAAAACTAAAGATTAGGCAACACGAACATACACTTTGAGAGCTCACATGAGCTTCGGATGGGGTCAACCATTTCTGCAGCACTGAATGTACACCTGTTGAAATATGTTGGTTAATCATATCCAATGATTATGTATCAGAATATTGCGGATTGTCTGACCCTTAAACATCAAAAGGTAATTTTTATAAATCATCGCTCATGTAAAATTCTTTAACCCTTAAACCTAAACGAACATTTGGTGTTGTTATACATATTTACACTTTTGTGTACTGTATTTTATGTTTGTTTATCTTGCTTTAGTTTTCAATGATATGTCCGTTCATTCTATTCGTTTTATATTCCCACTTACCAATTCTTATAATGGCCGAACACTGGTTAGTCGGAATATCTCACACAAAAAGAGTAATTTTTATTTTATATTTGAATACCATAGTGTAAAGGAGACAATTGCGAAAACTTTACTTACGGTATTGAATAATCTGTTGGTTTATAATAATTTGTCCATGACAATTTTATATCTCCGAAGTTTCTTAATTTGTCGAAGACCAACTTTGCTATGTCTTCTTCAGCTACACCTGGATGTGGCTTCCCGAGATCCTCCCATGCTCCAATAACAAGCAGTTCGACTGCAATCGACTTTATTATTGTGTGCTGCAAAAAATTGAAAATATTTACCTTACTTTGATTATCTTTCAAGTTCGAATCTATATAAGGAGTACCCAGATGTCACCAGGGAACTATAACACTTTGAAATCAATAGCTGCGCTGGTCTCTATTTGATATATATTCCGGTGTTCAGATTAGACAAAACTCTGAGCACTTATTGTACATGTCACAGTTATTGGCTCATATGTACCATATACAAAATTCATCACCGGACTCATTATTTTGTACGTCAGATGCGCCTTTCGTCTTCAAAAGACTCATAAGTGACGCTCAAATCAAAAACATTAAATGGTCAAATAAAGTACAAAGTTGAAGATCATTGAGGACCTAAACTCTGAAGGTTTTGCCAAATAGAGCTAATGTAAATAATTCCTGGGTTAAGAAATCCTTAGTAATTAAAAGTTTGATTTTCGGTTCATTCAGCTCTTACGTTTCTGTTGTATAGTATCTCATAAGGAAAAAGTTCGAGAAATTAAAAGCAATCAAGGGGCCAATCATAAATTGCAAGTCGAAATAATCAGAAAACACCTCGGCGAAACAAATAACGAAACAAAAGACGATACCAAAACAAATACAACACAATATATTTAAGACCGTATGACACAAAAAAGAGGTTACTCCAGATGCTTAAGAAGGAAAAGCACTACTAATAAACCGTGTTAAATGATCAAGGATTGCTTTTTCCTTCGGGCATCGAAGTACACCTTCATATCGACGAATACAGGGGGTATAGAAATATACAAGTTATTATCTAAAATTGTTTAACCAGTATTCCTTCAATCTAAAAAACAGATAACAACATTTTGTTACTTGAAGTTTATAATTCCAAGATGTTAGAATTTAGTCAGGTAGACGAATCCGGCTTTAAAATGATCAATTTTACTTTTTATGTTCAAATATAGACTGGTCGAGATGACCTCCGAAGACTGTCGACGGTCACATAACCCGATATAAACATAAACATAAATATAAATAGAATGCGACCACGTGCAATTGGATTTTTCTATGTCTGTTTGATTTCATGTTATAGGTTTGATAAGTTAAACATCGTTTTTACCTGTATAAGATTGATTTTTTGTGGATCGAATCAGTCAACCAAATGGTTCACCTTTGTTTCACTTTCCATGTTGACATTCTTTTCCTTTTAATGACTGAACACGCATAGTACATGCGTAACCAATCTCTAGCTAAGAGGTTAAATTGAAGGTCACATGAATACGTATTCAGTGAGGTCGAATTATTCACTTGCAATTGAATAATTCATCAGCGATGTTACTAGCTTATTATGACAAAACTGAACTAATCTGGCTGCTTAAAGCGAATTATTATTTCACTATTTCACTTTCATTAAAGATTGAACCAAAAAAAAAATCCTATTTTAATTTTTTTTATATCTCGTAGCTAATGCCCCTTTAAGGTTTTTAAAATGTCAAGATATATAAAAACAAAACACTGCAAAGTGGGTACGTGTTCTGTGAGACATTATCAGTATAACAGTGTGTATTTCTATTGATTAAGCTTACAGTAGTAATTTATTTTGATGGACTTCAGAAAGCTACCAGCATCTACCTTAAAATACCTGGAAAGTTGCATACTATATAACTTACATTATTCGTTTTAATCCAGTACTTGATCAACCTAATGACTCTTTTTATCTTTTCTGGATGCTTTCCAATAAATTCTGTTTGAAGTGGTCTCAAACATCTGTTGTAATATCCTCTTTCCGTACTACCAGCTTCTTTCCTCATTTTTGTGTGTATCGTCTTTATTTCCTCATCAGTTAAGTTGCTGGCTAAGAAATGTACACACACAAAATTTATTAACTTTGAACTGATATACATGTAAATAGTTTGTTCTATTTCACATAATTAATTGATATCATATATTTATCTATTCATTTTATTATAAAAGTCTCATTTGCTTAGGTTTGATCTTAGCTAAGGCATATTAAGGTGGTACCTAACACTACATGGAGATAACTCTGTAAAAATCAATTAAACGTTTTAATCACGTTGTATTGTTAAGGAAATATTAAACTTCTCAATGATAAAAATTAGTGTTTGTCAAACTGCTATATAACCAGTGAAATTTTTCTGATAAAGTGGTTGGTTCAAATTATTTGAAATTTTTATATTTTTGTCAAAGGGTCAAAGTAAACATTTTGTCAAAATTTTAGGAAAATTAAACGAGTCAAATTAATATTAGTCAAGGTGTTGGGTACCACCTTAAATAAAGCTCATAGGATTTCTCAGTGTTGTCGTTCGCGGAACAAAACGAAAATTATTTAACTATATTATTGATAATTTCATCTATGATTGTTGAATAAAATTTCCTAGATTTTAGATATTACGGAATAAGTGATAAGATTATGTTCTGTGCTACTTAACTGCATATCTATTTTTTCAAAGTCCATTTACCCTGTAATTGAACCAGGGTTTACCTGGTATCTATGATGAGTTTATTTATACCCTTTTATTAACTACCTCAGCTACCAGAGAAGTAGCTAGTTAACTGTTTTTTGTTATTCTTGTATAAGAATTGAAGTAATCAGAAAATATTGTAAATAATTATAAATTACTGAACTTATTGATTTTAATAATAATATGTAATGATAAATAGGTGTTTATACTAGGTAATTTAATCAATTCATTTCGAAATGCAACTTTGTCTGTATTCAAATGTCAAGGCTACCATTCTATAGTTAGGTTGTGCTATCATATTATTACTTAGTTAGCCGTTGCATTACAGTTGCGGTTGCTGATACAGGCACATATTTTATACATAAATTAAAACGCTACCAATCCTCCATCTGCTACAGTATGTATAAGCAGTCGAACCAATGTATTCATTATAATTTATTTTACAATATTGTTTCACAAGTATTTAGGCGAAATTTGCATCGCTGTTTACACATCACTACGTGTTACTGTTGTTCTAGACAATTGCGCACTCATTATATGAATAAGATTGACACTCTTGTGTGATGGCTATGCTCCTATATTCAAAACACTTTATATACAGTATAGTATATCAAATATGCATAAAATACTTACGATCATTTGTTATATTGAGAATGGGCATAATGTCAACCTCTTGCCATGACCCATCAATTAAAATATTAGTGTTATAAGCCCATGTCGTTATTTTTGAGTCTTTAACCGTGAATCGGGAACTGGAAGGAGAAAATGGAAATAACGAAAAGTCAGTTTAATCCATTTGTTGAGAAAAATCATACTTATTCTAAATTTTAGTAAACGTACAAACATTGTTATATATACCTAGATATTTCTACTGCAATTTATATTCACATGTACATGTTGTATGTACATGATGTATGTACTTTACTGTCATCGTCGTCAAAATCTGAAAACACAACTGTTTTCGTGCGTTGATTTTGTCGTTGTCAATAACTGAATACATTTTACCGTCTTATTCACTTTATTCATTTTTTATGGAAATCCTTGTCTGCATTTCAATCAAAATTGTAGTCAGCACTTTTGTGATGACATGAACTATATTTTAGCAATAGCTTACCTTAGCTGTATTTGTCAAAGTCTTTCGGAATTTGAGGTCCTTAATGCTCTTCAACTTCGTACTTTATTCAGCCTATTTATTTTTTTTATTCGAGCGTCACTCATGAGTCTTTTGTAGACGAAACGTACGTCTGGCGTACAAACTTTAAATTCTGGTATCTACGATACAACAACTGGGTAGAAACTACTGCTGGACGACGTTTCCTCCTCTAGGGTATCACCAACCTAGTAGTCAGCACTTCTGTGTTGACATGAATTATCATTGATATGGTCAAACTTATGAATTAAATGTTTACAACACTTTGGATTGTTCGAAATATTTAAGATTTGTTACCTCAGGAATAGAATATCTTAGCTGTATTTGGCAAAACTTTCGGAATTTTGGGTCCTCAGTGCAATTCAACTTTTTACTTTAGTTGACCTTTTTATTATTTCGCGTCTAACGTACAACACTATTATCCTGGTATCCATGATTTGTTTATTTACAACCACTGGGTCGATGCCACTGCTGATAGATGTTTCATTCCCGAGGGTGTCACCAGCCCAGTAGTCAGCCCTTCTGTGTTAACATGAAGTATTATTGATATGGTCATAACTATGAATTAACTGTTAACAAAACTTTTAATTGTTCAAAAAACTAAGGACTTCAGGGCCGTAACTAGGCATCGAAAACAGACGAGGCAGGGGTTTGGAGGCCGCCGAGTGAGGCCCCCAGGTTATCAGGGAGGTTACCCGAAAATTGTAATATTAGGGTCCGAAATAAAACTTGTTACATCCGTTTTTTTGTTTCATATTTACCGTATGAAGAACTGCATTAGGCTATCAGAGCCGGCTGACAGATACTTGCCTTGAATTTTGTACTATCAAACATGTATCAATTTACAGTAAAATACATGTTTGATAGTAGAAAAAGCTGAACAAGTGTGTGTGGTCAACGCCAGAGGCGGATTTAGAGGGTTTTCCAGAAAGCCTGGCCCCCCTTTTGTGGGAACAATTTGGTTGATTATTTAGGGAATCACTGAAGCATTACTGGAGCAGGCCCCCTCTTAGGCAGTCAGTGCCCCCCCCCCCCCCCCCCCCCCCCCCCCTTCTCTTATGATAATTTCTGGATCCGTCACTGAACGCTTCATTCAAAATAACACACATTTTAATAACACTTTAATAAAGCCCAAAGATTGGAACCTGTAGTCATGATAGTCACTGTAGGTGAGAACAGCTTCTGCGTTCATTTGCGCGACATTGTCCGTACCAAGGGTTTGTATAGTCTCACTATACAAATCTTTGTCCATACAATGGACGTGATGCATGGCTAATTCACATAATCTGTCCTTGGTCATTGTTGAACTGCACCATGTCTTTAAAAAATGCCGAATGGCAGAAAAAGATTTCTCACATGAGCAAAAACCGACCGGAAATGTCAATAGTAGCTTCTCTACGGAAACCAAAATCTCTGACGTTCGAACTTGTTCAAGAGACTTTTTAGCGGGAAATAAATGATTGCAGAACCAAATGCCGGTTTACAGTCGAATGCCGATGGTAATCAGGCAGAGAGTTCGATACCAAACGAGTTGAAATAAAAGTACAGAAGCTGCACGTCAACATTGATTACTATTCGAAGTATGCATTACTAAATCCTTGATATGATAAAGATGTTTTCTACCCCTGCATCCCTAGTTTTCTTTTTTTTTTTTTTCTCATAATTTTTTTTTGTCAGAAAATCAGACGAGGCAATTGCCTCGTCTGCCTCATCAGTAGTTACGGCCCTGGACTTTCTACCTCAGGAATATATTACCATAACTGTATTTGGCAAAACCGTTGGAATTTTGGGTCCTCAAGACGCTTCAACTTCGTACTTTATTTGGCCTTTTTATTTTTTTTTATTCGAGCGTCACTGATGAGTCTTTTGTAAACGAAACGTGCGTCTGGCGTACAAAATTTTAATCCTGGCCTGATATATATTATGAACAGGCACAAGTTTCCAAAATTAAATATTCAACATTGCATATAACTTCTGATTATCATCTTATTTTATAGGATTTTCTTTCGCTGGGAAACATGGGTCAATGAATGCTATGGGCTGTTGTCGTCTTTCATTTGAACAAACTAGTCTGATGCAAACAACTTTGGTTCCAATAGACCATTCTTTATATCGAAATGTTCCTATAATTATCTTAACTTCTAGAATAAGTATAAGATACCGAATGGAGGTTGTCATCATAGGTCAGTTTGTTTTTAATGATTTCTTTAAAAAAATAAAACTAGCCTTCAAAAAGTAAAAGATATGGTTTGTTGCCTGCTTTCTAGCTTTATTTGGGGGAGGATAATTTTTAATTAGTTAAATCATATTTAAATCATGTTAATATGAGACGGTAAACAATAGAACAATCCTTTATTCAGAACATGTTTAACATTCTTTCTTCACAATTAAGAAACACCAAGTCCTTCAATTTTATTGACCGAGAGCACTTTGCTATATTCTAAAGGGAATTTACAGCATGTAGGGTTGACATTTCTACGTTTATCGTGTTAATTACCTAGTTGTGTTTTGTGTAAAGTTGTTTGTCTGTTTGTCTATTTCTTATTTAGCCTTGGCGTTGTCAGTTTATTTTCGATTTATGAGTTTGAATGTCCCTTTGATATCTTTTGCCCGTACTATACCCGTATAGTAGGACTATATGAGTATATACCTGTATGGTCATGATCAACGCGTATGGTCCAAAATACAAATTTTATATTACATAATGTCTTAGTTGATTGTAGCTAAAACACAATTTTGATTGTAAACATAATTGTTTTTATTTATATATTTTTAAGATGAACGCTTAGAGAGTATACACTGAGTCTTTAAATATAATGCTTACAGTGTTTTCTCCAAATATTTATGGAAATTGAATGTTAATACCCGTTCGACTTGGAGCATTAACTTGTTGTGAAGGACGTTGAATATACGCAACTTACTAAAGAATTCGACAATTAGACATTTCAAAATACCTGCTTTATTTGTTAACAAGTAAATGCTTACCGAAGAAGACTGTCAATTGCGTTTTTAATACCGTCCATTTTTTGCTTAAGAGTTTCTACAGTGGTGATGTCGTATATTGGAAATATAAGATCTACATCTGATAGTCCACGAACTGCAGTTCCTTTCCCTATAGATCCTCCCTTTAAGTCAAAAGTGAACATTGTGCAAGGAATCAGAAATGATAAAAACACAAGTTTGATTAATAAATAGGCATAATACATTGGTTATAGTACTAGTAAATGGCACTTTTATATACAAATAAACTCATCTTGAAATGTGTTTTCTCGACAAGTTGATTTCGTCTAATGGATCGGATCTACTGATCGCGTGATAATAGCACCGAGGGCATCACCCAGTTGAAGATCAGTGCTTGTAGGATTTGGAATGATCTAGCAGGATACTTTTTAGTTGAAAAATGTAAAATGATTTTTCGGCTTTTTTGGGTCGTATTTTATATTGTAGTTTTCATATATAAATAACAAAAAAGTAAAATAACAAAAATGCCGAACTCAAAGGGAAATTCAAAACGGAAAGTCTTTTATAAAATGGCGAAATCAAAAGCTCAAACACATCAAACGAATGGAAAACAACTGTCATATTCCTGACTTGGTACAGGCATTTCCTTATGTAGAAAATGGTGGATTTAACCTGGTTTTATAGCTAGCTAACCCTCTCATTTGGATGACAGTCGCATAGAATTCCATTATATTGACAACAATGTGTGAACAAAACAGGTAAAAATGGTCAAAAATTGGCGTACAGTAGTCAACATTGTAATATAATCGTAATCACTATAAAAACAAATAACTATTTCAACAAACAAAAACAAAATGGCATATAGACAAATTTATCCCAATTTGGCCAATTTTAATTCATTGTCCCTTATTGAGGTTATTCCAATAATTAATACACATGTAACGCAGCATAAAAAGGTATATTCACTCTGATGTTTTGCTTTAAAAACCATTGTGACCTCAATATAATGTTATTAATGAAAACATACGGTTTAAACTTTTTTCAACGGAGATTTCAACAAAAACAAAACTATACCTTTATGGTACGCATCACGCTATACTGAAACTGACTAGACCTCAAGGCCTCTGCTACTTCATCAATAGTCTTTCCACATTGTTTAAGATAGTTAGTATTCGGATTTACCACACGATCGATAAAACAAGAGAGAGATTCACCGGATCTTATTCCTTCGAAGTCCATATGTCTGCAATGAAGAAAAAGAACTTATTCATTTACAGACTTTAATCAACATGTCAGCACTGCAATTTAAGTATAAAACTTATTTAAAGTGTTTTTAGATTATATATATATATATATATTGCTTGATCATAAAGCATGTGATGTGCATATAAATGTTCTGCACAGCTAAATACCAAGTAAAACTATATGCTTGTCAGTCTAAACTACTGAATATAATATCCAGGAGCAGGTTATAATGTTATTATAAAGGTTCTGGTCATTTTGTTTCAGTGTTTTTATTTTCTATAAATTATTAAACAAACGTTTATTTACGTTCATTTGAATATTTACTGTGAAACTAATGACTACAGACACATAATCAAAACTTATCTGAAGATTAACTTGTATTTCTTCAAGTTGGTCATTATACTTGTATCTGCAACTCACCGCTGCATGATTGCAATTTTTATTATCCTTTATTATGATTAAAAATGACTGAAAAAATAACCAGTACATAAAAAAGACATTTTGTGTCAGTAGTTGACATAAATTCTGGAAAGTTCTGGCTAATATTACGACATGTATATAAATGTAAATGTATGTTGAAGAGACCGAGTGCATATTACTTATACTGCTAGAAACCAGCCATTTCACAGAAAATTATACTACAAAATTATAAGCAGGCGTCTTCATCGAACCTCATTAGTTCAGAAAAAAGCTCATATGAAGGCCAATTAAACCGAAATTTAAGTCTGATATGTAACTGCTAAAAAACAAATAAAAAGTAAAAGCAAAATTCATACTTTGACACAGAGGTAACAGAAAGCTTTATTTTATTTAACCTTTTTACATCTAATGAACGTAAATAAGTGTCAGTTGAGAAGTAATTAATACATGTATTTAACTTGCATAACTACTCTTCGCATGCAGATAACCATATGTGTTCAGAATGGAAATTTACTGTTAACAGAATGCTGTCATTGATGTAGAAATTGCAAAAGTCTACTGTTTGTTGAAATTTGTCTCTGTGCATATTTTTTTATCTAGAATTTACCTTTATTGCAATGAATTAAACATTGGACAGAAGTTTTTTATGATTAAAAGACAATATCCAGAGCAAAAAAACTAAAATACTTTTTTTCCATTTTTTGTATTTTAATGATAATTTTTACATAACGCAGTTCTGAAATTTAAATTCTCCAGATCGTGGAAAATTCTAGAATGAATGTACCAATATATCAAATAATCTCATGATTCAAGCAACCATCGTTAGTGTTCATCAAAGACCATTGATACAGTACCAATGAAATAGATTTTCCCTTACAGTCTTAAATATCGATAATCATCGTGTCAATGCAAAGGGAGGCAACACTAATAGCATTAGAAGCGTATCGTATAAAACCACATTAATTTGATAGTTTACAAAATTTTTGATAACACAAAATACAAAAGGATCTAAAAAGGCGTAGTTTTCAGAGACTAAACAAGAGTTAAACATAGATGGATACGTCTGTGTATCGATCAAAATATTTGATATGCATATTTATGACGTAAAAGAATCCTAGAACTGTCTACTGTTGTTTGTCTCTTCGTCATTTTTCCTTTTTTTGCCATGGTGTTGAAAGCTGTTCTTTTTTTAACTTATGAGTTTAAATATCTCTTATGTATCTTGGCCTCTCTGTAAGAGTAGATATACTAATGGGAGAACAACCCACACGATCTAAACTACACATCTTTCAGTAAAGCGTATTCCTGAAAATCAAACAAATTCACTCTTTTAGTTTTATAGATATATATATATAAATTAATAATAAGATCTATTTTGTTACATCTTGTGATCCGTTTTTTTTTTTTTTTGGCAATAGCCAATGGCAGTCAGCAGGGTTTAAGAACATCAGTTGTTCGACCTGCTAGTCAAATGCGTTTTGTTAAAATATACTTTTTCACTCATTTGGTCTTTTGGAAATTGTTGTTTGTGCTGTATTAGACCCCTCTACCAAGAAATTTGTTTTGCATGCACACGTATAAAAATTGCGGTTTTTATCCAACGCAATCATAGGTTTGGACGTTGTTTTCAATTTAGACTTGTTTATATATATACATATAAACGCCTGAAAAGTGTAGAAAACAACACCAATAACAAAAAAAAGAAAACTATAAATGTAATTATTTATAAATATTTCGGATAACAGATATCCTTCATCAGTATGGTTATGATCATGGATGTAAAATGAATCATATCAATCTACTTTGATTAAACTATAACAATCTTGAAATTTATACAATAAAACAGTTAAACCGAACATCATAGTTTAGACGCTTGTACAGTTCTAAACATTTTAAACATGACATAGGTTATATAACTATTTACAACAGAGAGCAAAGATATGCTTCAAATAAAAATAGTAATGTGCGATATGAACTGGCACAATTCTAAAATTTAAAAGGTGACGACAGTTACGATGTTACAAGAACGATTGCGTGAATAAACATTCCAAATAAACAGCACTGACCGATCTAAGCTTGTAAATATTTCAAATTTGACAACGGTAGAGTAATTACAACAGAGGCTGCGTATTTAAATATCCCTAATAAATAGAAGTTAGAAATATAATAATAAATTTCGACTAAGGTTGAATAGTTGAACGTGATTGGGTACTTTTACATCCCTCCAAAAATGATTAGAACCAAGCAATTTAAACTGATATAATTACAAAAAAATTTAGAGTCGAGAAAGGTAAGGAAATAGAAGCAGAGACTGTAGTAATAAGTAATATAACCCAAATGTAAAGCGCTGCGCGAATTCGAACTACATCTTTTCATTTATCCCATTTGATGCCAAAGTTTTTAATTTTCTTATCCAAAATCTTTCCCGAGTGAGTCTATCATCCCAAGACCAGCAGTGTTGTGGTCAATGATTGTAATTTCAAGATTATTATAGTTTAATCATAGTAGATTGATATGATTCAGTTGACATCCATGATCATAATCATACTGGTGAAGGATATCTGTTATCCGAAATATTTGTAAATAATTACACTTATAGTTTTCTTTTTTTGTTATTGGTGTTGTTTTGTACATATATATATATAAATTTAAACAAGTCTAAATTGAAAACAACGTTCAAACCTATGATTGCGTTGGATAAAAACCGCAATTTTTATACGTGTGCATGCAAAACAAATTTCTTGTTAGAGGGGTCTAAATACAGCACAAACAACATTTTCCAAAAGACCAAAAAAAGTTAAAAAGTATATTTTAACAAAACGCATTTGACTAACAGGTCGAACAACAAATGTTCTTAAACCCTGCTGACTGCCATTGGCGATTGCCAAATAAACGGATCACCGATGTAATACTAGTAAATGGATCTTAATTATAAATTTAATACTAAACAGAAAACAATAAACTTGCGGAAAAGATGGTATACTACAAACAAAAGGTGCAAAGGTTTTTGTACACCATATCCGGATTTCGACAATTAATGTCTCTTCAGTGATGTTAGGAATCGAAACGGTATTTGGAAAGCCATACAATTTATCTCAATTTAGGATATACTCTTGAATTTTGAGGAGTCAAAATAGGATGAACGGATCATATAAATTTATATATACAAGTCTAAATTGAAAACAACGTTCAAACCTATGATTGCGTTGGATCTAAATACAGCACAAACAACATTTTCCAAAAGACCAAAAAGTGAAAAAAGAATATTTTAACAAAACGCATTTGACTAGCAGGTCGAACAACGGATGTTCCTAAACCCTGCTGACTGCCATGGCGATTGCCAAATAAACGGATCACAGATGTAACAAAATGGATCTTAATTTTAATCTAATACCAAATAGAAAACAAAAAACTTGCGGAAAAGATGGTATACCGCAAACATGAGGTGCAAAAATTTGTATATATATATATAATTGTATACTTGTTCATCAACACATTTAATCATAAAATTAATATCACAGTCTTGTGGTAGAGAATCAATGAAATGGAACTTAATCAGAAACTTTACGTTACGGTTGCAACGAAGACGACGACTATGTCTTGCTTCACAGCATTGGTCGCAAGCGAGAAAAAAGTGAAAGCGCTTACAATTTTTTTGTTTGTGATCATATTATTTAATTTTAAGACACTTTCTATCATCACAGGTTACCTGCTAAGATATAGGACAAAATGTCTACGTTTCTTTCAAAAATTACATTTATGTCAGGTCAATGTTCATCAAATTTCAGAAAATCTACTTTCATTATCGTATTTATCTTTTAGATAGGAAAAGTTACTTCACGTACCATTTAAATGAATAGTAATTCAGTTCAAATAGCTTCTTTTTAGTAACCTTCCACAGGATGACCATGCATTTTTCATCCATCTTTTGAAATATATTTATGTAGTTCAGAGATTGACGAATGATTCGTTTGCCCTTTTTCTCTATGAACTACAAAAAATCGTCCATTAGTGCTTAATTATAAGGTAAGATTTAAATTGAAGAAACAGCTAAGATTTTCAAATTTAGCCATTTACGATAAATTTTAGCAACGGGCATCAACATATGAATAAAAGGATACAAAAATAACCAAAATAACATATAAAGGGCCAAAACAAAAACAGTTTTCAACAATAATCCGGGGTCTATATATTCATGTTTGAGCACAGATTAAGAACCATGTTTCAGCACAAGACGTCAGAACCATGTCTTAGATTTAAGGAATTGTCCAAACAGTTGAAATCAGTTTTGCTTGCGTATTGATATATTGTAAGATGTAACGTTAAACTAGTTCCACTTAAATTCTACATTACAACATCGAGACCGAGTTACAAATGAGAGATATTATAGGAAATTCTAAGGTGTAATTATTAAGATTTAAAGTTTTATTATCTAAGACTTTGAATCTAGACAATAACTAGCCATTCAAGCTGCAATCATTGCGGGGGAGATAGGGTTGTTTCAATAACAATTCGTTAAAGAAGCTTTGTCATCAATACATTTTAGACTAATATCCTCGTAAGTATTTCTGAATTTTTATCCACTCTGTAATGTGAAACAAATTTGTTACTTAATTATTTAATTAATGAATAAACTAGGTAGCTAAATTGCATGCACTAGAGAACGTTTTATTCAATAATTGTAGTTAAAAGCAAATTATTTACTAATAGCTATTGCAGCTTACCTGGTAAAATATAGGAATAAATATGCCACCGTTTGTTTCGTTCACTATTTTATATATAAAGTCTACTTTCATTTTGTACCTACCAATACAAATCCAGTATCAATTTGAAAAGTTCCTTGACATTCAATTAAAAATACACTGGGAATTTTCTTGCATTTTTATTCTAAAAATAAACCATTAGAAACTTTTCAGAAAATTTCCATAAGTTTCACTCACTGACAAATATATATAAACTTGCATACATGTACCATAACCAAAAATTCGACTGAAATTGATACTACATCAGTTTTACGGTCAATCAACATAAAACGCGACATCTGTTTGCGGATTACAAAATAGTCGTCTTATTTGTTAATGAACCAATTGTGTTCAATTCCCGATTGTGAAATTTTGAGTGTGGCTTACCCTGTTGACGCATCCAGTATCGCTACTTTGGACTTTATAAGATTCCGACATATAATATTTTACTTTGATTTGTATTTTCTTTCTGATTGATAAGATTTGAACGGTAATCTGCTGTTGTTGTTATAATATTTTGGAAATCATTTAAATTTGGGAATATATCTCCCTCAAGCAAAGCTCCGATTCTATGTCAGGTTTTGGCTTTTTCGTTTGGTCCTTTTTTGTTCTTTCAGCTGTTCACCGTTTGAATTAGATTATGTACTTTCCAATATTTTAGCCCCGAGTATTATTGAAGAAAGAATTGTCGAAATGCGCATATGATGCAGTTAAATCCCTAAATTTGAGAAAATGAAATACCATAACGATCAACCTATTCAGAATACAGATCGTAGAACATTTAAAGTGTTGTTTTTTTTTTTCATTATCTTGCTTGAATATAGAAATATGGAGAGATGGATTGGTTGCTTATGAGACAATTTTCACAAGAGATCAAAGAACGAGCATGTAGACAACTTGGTAAAGATGCGTAATTCATTTCCCATAGGCGGTAATGGTAACATTTTCCTCTTGCTCAGTCCATACCGTGAACTTGAATATGTATGATGGCTCATATCGAGGCTGAGACATTTATACATGTCTGGTTAAATTTTTTGGGTGGCAAATAAAATTAGTTTACCCACAAATTGCCGGATCCTGAAAGATGGTCAAAAATGTCACTCTCCTCATGAAATAATCCAAAAATTCTGATCATAAAATGCAATAAAAGAATTGTCTTTTTAATCATTTATTTAATGTCAAATCTACATTTTTCTTTTTTCATCACATCAACTTTATAAAACAGTTCTTATAGTTCAATTATGTCAATTTCTAAAATCACAACATCCATAATTGTATGGTGGACTGATATTTTTATATATTTATAATAATGTCGAGTTCCTCATCTCATGGTCCATTAAGGATATTGACCCATATTAGGTCAGCGAATGTCAGATTCTACTTATATTACAGTATGAATTCCTTCGGTATACCTTTTCGAATAATTGGGTCAATATCCCTAATGCGATGAAAATTACACAGGAATATTGGGAAAAATCAGAACTATGGATTTCAATATGGGTCAATATCCCTAATGCGCCTCAAATTGAGAAACACAAAATGTGTGTGTAAACAAAAAATCTCTGTGTAGTGATATTGGACATGTTTCTATTTTTAACAAGTGACTGAGCTTAACCATTTGTGTTGATTTGGAAAGTAGAGGACCATAGAATAAATGTGTAAAAACTATGGAGTTATTAAATGTATTCAAAGTATTAAATTTTATACGTACACATTGTACTCAAAATTAATGAATATAGGGATAAAAGGATCATTGCCTTATAGTGCTGAAACAACTTTATTTTCTTTCAGAAATGGACAAAAACTCACAGTTTTACTCAGAAAGTCATACCGATGAAGATTACACAGGAATATTGGGAAAAATCAGAACTATGGATTTCAATATGGGTCAATATCCCTAATGCGCCTCAAATTGAGGAACACAAAATGTGTGTGTAAACAAAAAATCTCTGTGTAGTGATATTGGACATGTTTCTATTTTTAACAAGTGTCTGAGCTTAACCATTTGTGTTGATTTGGAAAGTAGAGGACCATAGAATAAATGTGTAAAAACTATGGAGTTATTAAATGTATTCAAAGTATTAAATTTTCAGAGAATTTATTGTGTGAAAAAAGGGATTTTTTACCAGGAAGAGCCGCATCACGAAAGTATTTTCGGGGTATTCTAATTTACGGAAAAATGAATCACACTTCGTACCCCGAAAATTTAACCACATATGTGAAAATGTCGCAGCTTCGAAACGAGCCATCATACATATCCTAGTTTACTATATTGACTGAGCTACAGAAGAAAACGTTACCATTACCGCCTATGGAGAAACAATTGCGCATATTGCCCCAATTTATAAGACTGTATATTTGAAGTTGTCAGACTGATTTATGAATGATTGCATCTTGTACACCAGAGAAAATTGTGAAAATGAAGGTAAGTTGTCTTTTATAAATACCTAGCCATCACAGCTGGTTTTAGATTAACATTATTTATAAAGATCGGCAACAATTTTCGCTTTTGAAATGTTTTACTGGCATGGGGCTGGAGCACTTCTTTTAAGCACAAAAAAAATGTGTTTACATCAGACGCTGGCACATGTTATTGACATGAAAAAGGGACTAACTTCTTTTGGAAAGATTTGATATTGTTAAATTGTAAGTCAACATGACACACTAAAGACATTGTTATGTCATTATCATTCCAGTCTACACATGCTACAGGAATAGCTGATAATCAAGGGAAATAACACACTTCGGACGAATATAATTTGATAGTGATACATTGTTTTACACCAATAATTTGACCATTAATTAGCAGCTGGTCACATATACATGCAATTAAACAGACAAACATATTTTAAGAAAAGCACGAATTGCTATATATTTTAATGCACAGTAACAAATCACAAAATAGTGTCTTTTCTCAGTGAAAAAGGGGGAGGGTCAAATCTTCCAAAAACAAAGTGCTTTACCTATTCTGCCATTAAGCTACTACTGATTGCTCCTCATAAAAAAGGTTAAAATGAAGGTTGTGAAGCCACAAGAGAGAAGAATCTCTTTATTTGTGATAAAACTTTCAAGGATTTGATTTTTCCCTCTCAATTATACAGTTTGTATTTAAATGAAATGATAACACAACCTGAGTAATTTTTTGTCTTATTTTAGTTTCAGACATATCATTCCAGTTTAACCTGAGATGGTAAATAAGAGGTTTTAAAAAGTTCTGAATTACTGGTAAAAAATTTTTTTTGTTAGGCAAGCTCTAAATTGTTTATTTATGGATTTTATGCAATTGAAATTACAGTCAGGATGATGAAAATATGCTAATATGAAAACTGTTGCTATGGTCTTGATATTATATAAAATGCTTAGTTACTGATCTTTTCGACTCGACATTTTGACTTTAACCCTGAGGCAACTGTTCGTTATGTAACACTGCAAACTATGCTTAGCATTATTTTTATCAGTCGCTATTTAATGACATCATAATACGTGTGATGTCATAATATTTACTTAAAAGCTTATGGGCATTTCTCACTGATAAAGGGTTTTCACTGCAATACATTCGAAAAAACCTTTTTATTTAAAATAGAATTATGTGAAAGGTCAAGTTTTGTAAATTTGCACTTCATTGCGCTTTAATTATATGATAAATATGACATTCACACCATTTTAGAGTGTGGTTTTAAGGTAGAAAATACCAGATTTCCAGTGGCAAAAATTATTAAGTATTTTTTAGAGTTTTTGGATGAAATCTACATTTTTGCATAATTTCTCTGTCAAAATGCACTTTTAGACATCAGAAATTTTATTAAATGCTTTAACAGGGTCTTTATATTGTAATTAAAGGTTATCATTAGATATTTTATCTATATTGCGACTTGTGAAGGTATACTGGAAGAAATCAATATTATACGTACACATTGTACTCAAAATTAATGAATATAGGGATAAAAGGATCATTGCCTTATAGTGCTGAAACAACTTTATTTTCTTTCAGAAATGGACAAAAACTCACAGTTTTACTCAGAAAGTCATACCGATGAAGATTACACAGGAATATTGGGAAAAATCAGAACTATGGATTTCAATATGGGTCAATATCCCTAATGCGCCTCAAATTGAGGAACACAAAATGTGTGTGTAAACAAAAAATCTCTGTGTAGTGATATTGGACATGTTTCTATTTTTAACAAGTGACTGAGCTTAACCATTTGTGTTGATTTGGAAAGTAGAGGACCATAGAATAAATGTGTAAAAACTATGGAGTTATTAAATGTATTCAAAGTATTAAATTTTCAGAGAATTTATTGTGTGAAAAAAAGGGATTTTTTACCAGGAAGAGCCGCATCACGAAAGTATTTTCGGGGTATTCTAATTTACGGAAAAATGAAACACACTTCGTACCCCGAAAATTCAACCACATATGTGAAAATGTCTCAGCTTCGAAACGAGCCATCATACATATCCAAGTTTACGATATGGACTGAGCTACAGAGGAAAACGTTACCATTACCGCCTATGGAGAAACAATTGCGCATATTGCCCCAATTCTGTGAAGTTTTTATCCCATCTGAAATAAAATAAGCTCATTTCTAATATATTAAAGTAGGCATGCTTATTAATACTCCTTATATCTTTTGATGGAAAAAAGCACAAAAACCATGTTATCAATTCACATTTAAAAAAAATGATTTTACCTTTCATAGCTGACAGTGCCTATCATAAACCTTTATTGCCTTACTGACTTTATAAAAATCATCATGTTAGTTGATTTTTTTATATAACTGTTAAGATCATTCACAGACCGTTCTTCAACTGGTTTTAGTTTTAAAATCCATCAAGTAATAACCATTTTAGAGTTCTTTTTGTGTGTGTGTTCAAATAGGGAAAAATGGAGTTTTTTTGGGTTTTTTTGGTGAAGTGTACATTGTGACGTCATCGCTTTTGTTACGTCATAACCTTATAATGTCATAATTTAGAACTGTACCAACATAAGAGAGTGTATATTTTTTTTGGAAATGAAAGAGAAAAGGAAAATAAACCAATATAAGGTTGGTTACCAAGCACATCTATTTCGTTATGAATCCTTAGCAACAAATTCATCTACACCGGTTTTAAAAAATTCTTCTGTGAAAGTTTCACCAGCAACACCTAAACTTG